AATGGCAGCTAAGGTGTATGGTTGTATTAACTGGCTCTTATCTTTTTGCTTTACGTCGGCGTGTTGTTATTTGCTACCGCTTTGGGTTATTTGAACGTGTGGTACACTCACGCTCATCGTCATGTTTTATCATTGTTTTTGTTTTTTAGTGATAATTTTTGTTACTCTTTTTTTTTTAAGTATTAATATTTGTTTCCATGTAATTGTTCAAACCTTCTCAATGGTTGATCAAATAGTTCCTCAAATTTAAATTTGATAAAAAAATTCACTTTTTGCTACTTTAATTTTGTACCAAATCTTTCATCAAATGTAGAAATTTTCAAATATTTCATCAAATTGAGGATGGATATATCATTCGTCAAATCATTATTCATATCCATTAGATTTTCACCACCGGATGTCCTTCAGGTGTCCCTAGATGACCACCTTAAGGCAAAAATTATGAAAAAATTACACTGGCCGGTCAATCGGCCAGACATTCACCCAGCCGACCGATGTTCTGATGAAGTCTTTCCGAGTAGAAACGCCATTTCAAATGGAGTTTTTATTTAAAAAAAAAAAAAAAATTATTATATGCACAGTAAAAGCGCTATTTTAAATAGCGTTTTCTTCAGAATTTTTTTTTATGTTAAAAGCGCGATTTGGAACAGCGTTTTCTTAATTAAAATTGCAATTTCAAATAGCGATTTCACTATTCATCAACTTTTGGCCTCCTAACAGTAAAAGCGCGAATAGTAATGGCGTTTTAGCTTAGTTTTGGAATTCCGTCAGAAGTTGGCCTAGTTTTGGAAATACAATGGAAAAAAGGCTTATATTGGGAAAAGCCTCGATTGATCTCTATCCGATTTTTTTTTAACTGGTGTTCGAATTAAGTTGTGCGTACCTTGACTATTATAATTGTATATTAAATTGGAGGAACTCTTTTTTTGTATTTCTTAATGTGGTATTAAGGGTGGGATATGTTTGTCGTTTTAATGGTTGATTTTACGTCTTTGTAATTTTGCAATTGATTTATAATTTTTTATCATAACTATAGCGACCCCGGCCTTCTCCCATTTGATTATTGTATCCGGACTTAGGTTCCGTAGATTCTGTCATTGTATAATGGTTGTTGTTGTCCCTTATTTTTCTCATTTGGAATTATAGGATGTGTTGGGCAGGTTTGTTTCAGGTTGGTTGGGTTTAGAAATCAAGTGTTGCTGTCCAGTATTTTGGATCTTCGCTCGAGCGAGCTGTTGTTTTTGGTTCTTCGCTCGAGCCGGGGTTGATAGCTCGAGCGAGAGTTTGTGTCTGGTTTGGACCTGTAGCTTTGCATTCTTGGCTCGAGCGAGCTTTTCTTCGCTCGAGCGAGTTAGTTTGTTCTTCGCTCGAGCAATAGTTCCTTCGCTCGAGCGTGTGACTGATTACAGACCTGAGGGTTTGAGTTCTTCGCTCGATCGAGCTTTCTTTCGCTCGAGCGAGCTTTTGGCTTGTTGGCTCGAGCAAGGCTTCCTTGGCTCAA